CATGTAAAGCCAGATGCACTTGTAGGCACTGGTGCTGGTCAAATGTCCACACAACGTGGCCTTCCCGATCCACACAACCCACCTTAACAAAGGTATGAGTACCGGGATGAGGAGCCAATGGAGAAGGCTGTGGTACCACATGAGTATCCCACACCGGAGACCCATCAACAGTTTGCATAACCCCAATGGGCTATCGATTCACCCAACGGAAGGCATTGGACAGGGCCGCTCCAAAACCAGGATTAAGCTGCTTGTCCTTTTCTCCCAAATGGCCCCCCTCCATCGTCCTCTGAGACCCTCCATAGACTGGGCCAAACAAAGTGCCCAGGGGAGTTGGCCAGCGGGTGTAGTCTCCACACCGGCAGTGGGAGGGGAGAGTGTCGATGAGAGCGGGTCCAAAGGCGACTCCCCCATCTGGGGGGGGTTACCACCGGCCCGTACAAAACAAAAGTCTCACGCCAAGCACTGTCTGGTTCACAAGCTGCAACCTTAACTGCATATTAGTAAGGGTCAGCTGGGCTCCGGTTGGTTGGGTAGCCTGTGACTGTCCCGACAAAGTGGGGTCGAGCGCTTTGACGTCTCTCGTCTTATGTCCTGACTTTCCGTCGGAACATTCTTTGTCTTTTTTAGAGACTGCTGGGTAAGTGGTAGCTGCACCCCGCAAATGGGTTGTGTACCACCCTGTTCAGGGGTACTAACACTGGAGTCCCCTCCCCTCACAGAGTCACAAGTAGGGGCATCTGCTGCCGCCACCGGTGTTGTTTCCAGGTTATCGACGACGTCACCGTTACCCCAGAGATAATGGGTCTTAAAGGTCTAGCCTCGATCGTTGATTCCACTACATCGAGCAGTGAGTCAGATCGCGACAACTCTCGATCACTCTCGGTTCTCGATTGGAGGAGAGCCTCGTCTTGATTACCAAGTGGAGGGAGAGATTTTTCACTCATTGAATCAGACATTTCATCGCTAACTGTGGCTAGGGATTTCCCCTTATTATCTCGGGATTTACCAGCTTTGAATCGCTTGCCTTCAGCCTTACCTCGCAATGCTCCCACGTTTTTGGATCTCAAAGATCGCAGAGACCCTCAAGGCAATAACCCAAGTCCCTGACGCAACCCAAACATGAATGGCAACACATGTGCGGATCACCAACTCAGCATTTTTTTAAGGCAAGAGGAGCATGTCTTACGTCCTGACTTTTCCGTCAGAACATTCTTTGTCTTTTTTAGAGACTTGGGCATTATGAAGTCTAGAAAAAGATAAGAAAGATGATCATGAAAAAACAAGAAAATTCACCGTGCCAAAAATAGGAATAAGGGCAAATATAATGTTGTTGTCGAAGTCACCACTAGAATTTCATGATATGCTCAGACAGAAAACTTTTGTTCGGTAGCACCTTAGCTGAAAAATTATGCAACCGTTGGGTAGCGGAAACAAAAGCAAATGAATGGGTCAGGCCTCGATTGCGTGATCACCCCGAGGGTGACCCCTTAGACATGGCCATTTTTTATAGGGAATGTTACCCTAGGGTGTTCTTTGTGGACCCCGGTATATTCCCTAATAGTTTCCGTTCGGGCTGTAATCTGTAATTAAGTCTAAGTAGTAATAAATGAAATTTATTATTTCCACATTTCTGGTAGGTGATGTAGTAAACTCTCATTTTATCTTTCTAACTCACTTGTGTTTTCAAGATTTGCATCGTAGCTTTTTTAACTCGCTCATTGTATCTTTAGATTCTCATATTAGCTTTTTAACTCGCTTATTGTATCTTCTAGAATCTCATTTTAACTTTCTAACTCGCTCAATGATTTTAGATTATCATTTTAGCTTACCGTATTGTGTTTTCTAGATTCTCATCTTAGCTACAGCTCAGTCATGGTATCTTCTAGATTCTAATTTTATCTTTCTGAGTCGCTTATTGTGTTTTCAAGATTTTCATCGTACCTTTCTAACTCTCTCATTGCATCTTTAGATTCTCATTTTAGCTTTCTAACTTGCTCATTGTATCTTCTAGATTCTCATCTTGGCTAATTCTGTCTCAGATTCTTATTTTAGCTTTATGACTTGCTCAATGTTTCTCGATTCTAATCATAGCTTCTAACATGCTCATTGCATATTTTATATAATTTTAGCTAACTTGCTAGATTCTCATCTTAGCTACGACTTGCTCATTGTATCTCCTATATTTTCATTTAACTTTCTGACTTGCTCAATGTTTCTAGATTCTCATTTCAGCTTTCTAACTTGCTCATTCCGTCTTCTAGATTTTTTGACTGTGTTTTTTTTAGATTTAACATTCTGGTGACTGTGGCTAGGTATACAATGCGAATTCAACTAGTTTCCAACTTTACTTGACAAAAACTGATAAATTGTAAAACTACCCCTGATGAAACCTTCCTGGCCAACATTTAAAATTAACACTGCTATGGACACAACAGTTTAAAAGTTAACAGTCATATGATCTTTATTTACAAGTTTGCTTTTTAGGAGTATTCTGGGATAGAGATGATCATAAATATTACACATTTTCTGCGAAATATCATGTTTTGTTTTTTTACAAAAAAAAAAAGATATCAGTAAATTATCTTCAACTCACAAAACAAAAAGATTCTGGAAATTAGTAACTCCTTCCAGAGAAAAACATCAAATAAAATAATCAAGAAATTATAGAGATGTACCTTTTTGACAAAACTGTATAAATAGAATTATGAAAAGACGGGATCATAGTTTAAGATACATGTCTAAACAAATTATACAGACAATGTACCACAATAAAACCTTGATGTTGGGACAACACAACACCAAATCTAGCAAAGTTTACACTACAATTTTAACATTGTTGTTACACGAGTACCACACATGCATTTTGTGTATTCTTGGTGTGTGTTAAAGGTCAAGTTTAAAATTTGGAAATTCTTGACATTAAAGGATAATGTAATGAAACTACCACCCCCTACTATAAACCTGTCTCTAGAATTTGTTCATCTATAATAACCACCAGCACTGCTTTATCCTTGAAGAGTTTTGCATGTGTAAAAAGTACAATTGACATATTTGTAAATTTTAAAATGATAGAATATCTGGTAATGAAAATATCAAGATAAAATACCAAAAGTAATACTTCATGCACATTAGTGTTCATGAAAACAGAGCAGTCACTATCTAGCCTCAAGTTGGATAGATTCAATATGACACACATGCAGGAGCTCAATGTTCAAACGAGTTTCAAACTCCTCACCCATTGTAAATTCACTTTTCTTGCATAGATGTTACTAGCAAAGTCTGGGCACAAGAAATGCTACTGCGAGTTCCAGTTATGTTGACTTATTAGCTCTGGTTTTAAATTTTAACATACAGATATGTGGCAGGTGATGGTTTTAGCAAGACAAGTGCATCCACCTTGATATGATGACATTATTGGGGCAAATAGATATTTTATAAAACTAGCAGGTTACACAAAAACCACATCAAAGGTAACAGACTTCATTTACGGGAAAGGAAGTAAACGTTTCGTGCATATATAAAGTGTTTAACTTGTTGAATTATATTTGACAAATACAGATCCAGTAGTCCTGTTGAAGTTATTTATGAATAAAAAGTACTCACTGCGATGTATACGAATGATAAACGTTTTGCTGGCATTTTATAATAACCAGGTGTAAACAGGGTAGGTACAAAGATAATGTTTACTTTTGACCATTAAGGAGTTTTGAGCTAAATTGCAGATTATATGTCATGTTTGTCATACTTTTATTTTTACAAGTTCATGCCATCAGAATACCGAAAAACAAAATTGGGGTCAATAGACAATTTTTCAAGATACATGAATCCAAAACGTCATTACCACTTTTATTCACTGGTTTTATAGGAAAATTAATTTCTCATATCTCAAATTGTTGCTTTGCGACATGGAATGGTTTTTCATTATATACATAATACAATGCATGTATATGCAGTAATGCGCTCAAATTTACATTTGGCCCAAACAAACTTATGCAAGAAGAATACACCACATACTTGTGTGGTCAAGGGGGACAAATTTACAAATACACAAAGTTATAAACAATTGATATCAAACTAACTGCTCTTTCAGGTTCTAATTAAAACAATAATTACAGAAGTAAAACATGCATAGTTGTATCCATTTTAGAACCTGTCATTTTAGAAATAATTATGATGCCATTAGTTAAAGAGGTAATAGTTAGTCAACTTAGCAACTGTATATCCATGAGGATAAAGAAAGTTGTAACTTGCAGTACTTGACCACTCCTGAAATGTGAATTTGTGAGGATAACCAAGACACACTGCCTGGTGATCAAAATATATATCATGGGTACAATCTACAATTAACATAGCAAAAAATGCAACAGCAACTTTGTTTTAACTGTACTTAGCAAGCAGCAAACATAATGTCCTGCCCAGTGTTTTAAAAATGCTTGGCACAAAGCAACTGGATTGATATCACAAGATTGCATGAAATAAAGGCTTGGGGGAACATTGGTCCCACCAGCATGTGCACATGCTGTCAGCTGCACGTGGGTGGCAGTCAGTCAACAACATGCATCTGTTAGACAACAGTATGTGCCATTTACCAGTCAAAGTCACGTTTCTGTCAGCCATTGTCATTGCCAAGCATCTCCAGTTTAAATGTGCAAACAGACCATGTAAAGAATGATGGTAACAATATGACATTCATGTTAGTCTGAAATGACTTTGATGATATACTGTTATTTCAATTCTGGGCTTCCACTTAGCTAACATGTTCAGAAACTTAACATTATGAAAGATCATAATATTTTTAAAATTCATGTAGTACATTAAATGTACCATACTTTTCGTTTAAAGATTTACTTTTGTGAGGATGAATATTTCATGGTACATCTATGTATTTAGCTTTTGGTGGCAAGAATGACATACCTGTACATTTTTTTGCGGTCACACATCAACATTTAATTGACCATTGGCGAAAGAATAGTGGAAGCCCATGAATTCATATTATGTTATTATTATTTACAAATCTGGTACAAATCAGGTAACACTAACTAGGATACATTTAGTCAATTAAGTGTCCCAACTATGAAACAATGTGGTACAAAATGATAAAATTTCTCCTTACAATTGCATCTGGTACGGAAAAAAGTATTTTCGAAAATATATAAAGTCAGAAAAACACAGTATTTTGTTTATAACACTTCATTCACAGCTAATTATGTCAAGGGTTTGTTTGTGTGGTGATCTTACATGTTAAATCCTTACAATGAATTGATTACACATTGCTATGTACGGTATTTATTTTGCAGTAAAAATTTGGAAATCAGGTTAAAATTAAGAGAATATTGCATATGGGTAATGAGGGTGTCAATACTTGCCATTAGTATTCGCCGTCGCGAGAAAGTGACTCACATTGAATTGTATTGTTCAATTCATCTTATGGATACATGAATTTGAGTCAATTACATTAATCAGTAGATATATAAACCAACTGTTAATAACAGCAGATTCTAAACCAATGAATATGCAACACAAAAAAATTAAAGCTATAATCACTAAGAAAAGTTTGCAAATTTTCTCATGAATTTCTGTGAATCACATACATAGTGTAGTCAAATTTGGTGAATTAAGTTATGATGGGAAACAAACACAGCCAATGATGTCCAGTCCCAGAGATTGAAGAGTATTATTGTTATGCACAGAGAAATACACTGATGTCATTGGTTACAGTACTTTGGATAGGACAGGAGTTGAAGACTGGCAATTAAAACCAAGCAACAAACCAAAGACTAAAAGGACCACCAAGCACTAAACATATGTTAATCCATAAATGATATTATATTATTTTGTAATAACAAGGTGTATTAAATACTTATAAAGTAGCTTGCAAAATAAATCATTCAACCACCTTGCACTTACTGCAAGTGTGTTAAAGTCATCATGAGTAATGGGCTATACAGTGATAGTATAGAATGACCAAGAAATAATAAATTGGCCACAATACCAAGTCAACCACTTCAAAATGTTGAGAGATTAAAATCAATTAACAGGAGGACATACATAATAAAAAAAATTGTCAATGTCTTGGCACAACACCATGACGAGATCCGCGTATTATGATGACAGCTACATTGTATGGGATAAAAACTCAGGTTTTTAGTACATTGTTGGTGCTATATGGCTGTCAACAATCTCAAGTCAAGTTCACAGGATGGAAAGAGTTTCTTCTATTTAGTGCAGATTTAAAAGCAACGTTGAGCCACGCAGCAGTTATTTTTCATTCCAGAGAACTATTTTGTGTAAAATAGAGAAACTCTGAGGCAATGTGTCACATATTAAAGGCTAATCAACCAGCTGCATTGATGGGATATTGTGTAACAAAATCTTGATGAGTGCTGTAAATTTAAATATTTTTCCAGTCCCATTGCAGCCAAAGTGCATATATAAACTTATAAACATTGTTCTGTAAATTTGGGTGGCCTTTAATACTGTGACACAAGGTGCATTGCTCCTATGACGAGTTACCAGATGAGCAAGCATACATTCCAACTGTTTCTGTTTATGTGATTTGTTGTCCTTCTTTCATCAGAGGGGTTTAGTCTATACTGTAGATTCTTGAGTCCAGTAAAACAAATTGGATACTTCTATAATAGTTATTTCATTTCGATCATCTCTTGAGACTGAGATTTTAAGAAAAGATATCTTCAAGTCCAGTAAAACAAATTTTAATCGTATTCATCTTGAAAGTCGTATACTGAAGGACCACTGCCGCCCCCACCCCCACCGCCTCCTCCTCTGCCACTTGCTCCCTCTGACCTGTGATTTGTTTTGGTATTATTATCCTCACCATCTATTCCTTTGCGGCACACTGGACATGTATTATGCTGTGAGGAAAGACAAAGAGAATAATAACATAAAACGATGACCTGCATTATTCAATATATGATGTTTATGAATCATCCAATGTGCGTGAAAAAACAAAATGTGGCTCCACTTGGTATATCACTAATAGCAGTAAGCTAAGTGGGTGTTTATGTCCATTGGATATTTTTTCAACAAAAGTGATTTTGTTTGTGAACCATTCATATTTCTCATACAAACTTGTTACATAAAGCATAGGTCTGAATATGGTCTGAATTATGTAACTAACAACACAAAGTCATATGTAGATAATATATTTTGAGCAAATTGTGGCAACATGGTTTTATAGTTAAGTGTAAACACTCACCAATTCTAGCCATGGAACAATACAATCATGATGAAATATATGGAGACATGGGAGTTTCCTAACTTCTTCCTCAATTTTGAAGTCCTCCTTACAAACTGAACAATCTAAATGGTGATCTGAAACAAAAATAAATAGGAAAATCTGATTAAATGATTGGCATCTGAATATTCCTGGTGACAAGTGAATGAACAACCTGAATTCCTGATGACAAGTGAATGAACAAACTAAATTCCTGGTGACAAGTGTATGACCAAACTGAATTCCTGGTGAGAAGTGTATGACCAAACTGAATTACTGGTGACAACTGTATGAACAAACTGAATTCCTGGTGACAAGTGTATGACCAAACTGAATTCCTGGTGACAAGTGTATGACCAAACTGAATTCCTGGTGACAAGTGTATAACCAAACTGAATTCCTGGTGACAAGTGTATGACCAAACTGAATTCCTGGTGACAAGTGTATGAACAAACTGAATTCCTGGTGACAAGTGTATGTATGACCAAACTGAATTCCTGGTGACAAGTGTATGACCAAACTGAATTCCTGGTGACAAGTGTATGAACAACCTGAATTCCTTGTGATAAGTGTATGACTAAACTGAATTCCTGGTGACAGGTGTATGACCAAACTGAATTCCTAGTGACAAGTGTATGACCAAACTGAATTCCTGATGACAAGTGACTGACCAAACTGAATTCATGGTGAAAAGTGAATGACCAAACTGAATTCATGGTGAAAAGTGAATGACCAAACTGAATTCATGGTGAGTGGTGAATGACCAAACTGAATTCATGGTGAAAAGTGAATGACCAAATTGAGTTCATGGTGAAAAGTGAATGACCAAACTGAATTAATGATGAAAAGTGAAATACCAAACTGAATTCATGGTAAAAAGTGAATGACCAAACTGAATTCATGGTAAAAAGTGAATGATTAAACTGAATTCATGGTGAAAAGTGAATGATTAAACTGAATTCATGGTGACAAGTGAATGATTAAACTGAATTCCTGGCAACAAGTGAATGAACCAACTGAATTCCTGGTGAAAAGTGAATGAACAAACTGAATTCCTGGTGAAAAGTGAATGAACAAACCAAATTCCTGGCAACAAGTGAATGAACCAACTGAATTCCTGGTGAAAAGTGAATGAACAAACCAAATTCCTGGCAACAAGTGAATGAACCAACTGAATTCCTGGTGACAGTAAATGAACAAACTGAATTCCTGGTGAAAAGTGAATGAACAAACTGAATTCCTGGTGAAAAGTGAATGAACAAACTGAATTCCTGGTGAAAAGTGAATGAACAAACTGAATTCCTGGTGACAAGTGAATGAACAAACTGAATTCCTGGTGACAAGTGAATGAAGAAACTGAATTCCTGGTGACAAGTAAATGAAGAAACTGAATTCCTGGCAACAAGTGAATGAACTACCTGGATTCCTGGCAACAAGTGAATGAACCAACTGAATTCCTGGTGAAAAGTGAATGAACAAACTGAATTCCTGGCAACAAGTGAATGAACCAACTGAATTCCTGGTGAAAAGTGAACGAACAACCTGGATTCCTGGCAACAAGTGAATGAACCAACTGAATTCCTGGTGAAAAAGTGAATGAACAAACTGAATTCCTGGCAACAAGTGAATGAACAAACTGAATTCCTGGCAACAAGTGAATGAACCAACTGAATTCCTGGTGAAAAGTGAATGAACAAACCAAATTCCTGGCAACAAGTGAATGAACCAACTGAATTCCTGGTGACAGTAAATGAACAAACTGAATTCATGGTGAAAAGTGAATGAACAAACTGAATTCCTGGTGAAAAGTGAATGAACAACTTGAATTCCTGGTGAAAAGTGAATGAACAACTTGAATTCCTGGTGAAAAGTGAATGAACAACTTGAATTCCTGGGGACAAATGAATGAACAACTTGAATTCCTGGTGACAAATGAATGAACAAACTGAATTCTTGGTGAAAAGTGAATGAACAAACTGAATTCTTGGTGAAAAGTGAATGAACAAACTGAATTCCTGGTGACAAGTGAATGAACAAACTGAATTCCTGGCAAGAAGTGAATGAACAAACCAAATTCCTGGCAACAAATGAATGAACCAACTGAATTCCTGGTGAAAAGTAAATGACCAAAATGAATTCCTGGTGACAAATGAATGAACTGAATTCCTGGTGAAAAGTGAATGAACAAACTGAATTCCTGGTGAAAAGTGAATGAACAAACTGAATTCCTGGTGAAAAGTGAATGAACAAACTGAATTCCTGGTGAAAAGTGAATGAACAAACTGAATTCCTGGTGAAAAGTGAATGACCAACCTGAATTCCTGGTGACAGTGTATGAACAAACTGAATTCCTGGCAACAAGTGAATGGACAAACTGAATTCCTGGTGAAAAGTGAATGAACAAATGCAATCGTGACAAGTGATTGACCATAGTTGTGAGAAGATATGGTTCTTACCTATGTCATCTTTTGTAATTTTTACTGTAGGAAGTGCCTGTATTTTGTCCTTTTCTGCAGGCGGTGGTCCTGTTCCTTCAAGATTGTTCAACAACTGGAAAACAGTATAATTACTAAATTAGGGTAATGTTATGCATCACTGAGCTAAAGTAATACCGTATTTATCCGGGTAAGCGCCTATTCCCCAATTTTGATACAACAAGTCATTGAAAATGACACAGTCCCCGTTAAATTTTTGAAAGTTCTCTTTGTGCTCATCATATTAAAGCGTAAGGGTTGTCGCGAGCATGTCCTTGAAACTTGAGGTTCAAGTGGCGTATACAACAGATTGTTTATTTACATCAAAACATGTGTTCCGTGTAGTAGTAAAATGGCAACAGCAAAAAACAGCATCTGATTATGAAACACACTGATATGTATGATGTATGTGCCAAATACAAATTAAAATGGTACATAAATTGTGGAAATATAGTAGTAAGGCCAAAAAGTCAGATGGCTGTCAATCGGCCATCCTTGTCCAGATTTTGAAACAAATTGTCATGGACATGCATCCTAACATGTCTAAAGTACATGTATGTGCCAAATTTGAATGAAAACTGACAGAGCACGTCCAAGATACTGCATAAAAAAACAAAAACAAGATGCCTGCCAGTAGACCATCTTTGATCCAATTGCGAAATAAATCGTCATGGACATGTATCCTAACATGTATAATCTATGTACCAAGTTTGAATGACAACTGACAAAGCATGTCCAAAATACAACATTTTTATCAAAAAACAAGATGGCTGCCAGTCGGCCATTTTGAATCGAATCGCTAAACCACTGCATGTGTATATGTCTCACATAAGGTACTAGGCACATGCAAAGAATGAACGGAATCGGTTCACAGGATTCTGAAAGATGACTCTGGACAGACTGACGCACGGACACACGGACGGACGGACGAACAGACTCAGGAACTCACAGACGGTCAGGGACATGTATCCTAACATGTATGATCTATCTACTAAATTTGAATGAAAACTGACAAAGCATGTCCAAAATACAACATTTTCAAAAAACAAGATGGCTGCCAGTCGGCCATCTTTGATCCAATTGTGAAATAAATCGTCATGGACATGTATCCTAACATGTATAATCTATGTACCAAGTTTGAATGAAAACTGACAAAGCATGTCCAAAATAACAACATTTTAAACAAGCAGCCTATCGGCTGAGATAGCTCCGCTGTTAGCAATGCACATTTCAATTAAAGAACTGAAGACATCATTAGAAAATGCACAATATGTATAGTATCAAAGCAATCGGACTTACAGTTTTTAACAAGAAGTCGAAAATATCACTTTCTACTAAAAATGACAAAAATATTCACCAAAATTAGAGAATTGAAGATATCATCACGAAATGAACAAATCTGAGAAAGATCTACATGTAGTATCAGTGTTCCCCCCAGGCCTCTGAAGCGACACGGTACCGTGACGCTTGGACACTCGGCCGTGATGCTTGCCCTTTGTCCGTGACGCTTGGTCACTCGCCTGTGATGCTTAGGTTTTTGTTAACAAGTGTCAGTCTCGTCTTGCACATATTTAAAACAATAACATGTATTGATCGAAAGGTAATCCCGCTTTTGTTAGCCATACAAAGACAGTGATAAAAACGGAAGTCTGCAATAAGTTGCGAAGTCTTTCAAAGGTGTAGAGCCTCCAAATCCCCAAAAAATACTAGAGTAGCAATAATTTGCCCATTGCACGCAATGACAACAATGTGACGAAACAAGTCACGGCGTACGTCGGGAAGATCAACCCCGATTTGCTGCACTCCGATTTTTTATCACTCATTCGCCGGTGACATTAATTACCCCAAAATTAAGAAAAACAAGCAGTCTGTCGGCTGAGATAGCTCCGCTGTTAGCAATGCACATGGCAATTAAAGAACAGAAGATATCATTAGAAAATGAACAAATCTGAGAGAGGTCCACATGTAGTACCTATATGTATAATATATCAAAGCAATTGGACTTGCAGGTTTTCAACAAGAAGTCGAAAATATCACTTTTTACCAAAAATGACAAAAATATTCACCAAAATTAGAGAATTAAAGATATCATTACAAAATGAACAATCTGAGAGAGGGCCACATGTAGTAACTATATATGTAATATCAAAGCAATTGGACTTGCGGTTTTCAACAAGAAGTCGAAAATATCACTTTTTAACAAAAATTACAAAAATATTCATCAAAATCAGAGAATTAAAGATATCATCATGAAATGAACAAATCTGAGAGAGGTCCACATGTAGTACCTATACATGTAATATCAAAGCAATTGGACTTGCGGTTTTCAACAAGAAGTCGAAAATATCACTTTTTACCAAAAATGACAAAAATATTCACCAAAATTAGAGAATTGAATATATCATTATGAAATGAACAAATCTGAGAGAGGTCCACATGTAGTACCTATACATGTAATATCAAAGCAATTGGACTTGCGGTTTTCAACAAGAAGTCGAAAATATCACTTTTTACCAAAAATGACAAAAATATTCATCAAAATTAGAGAATTAAAGATATCATTACAAAATGAACAATCTGAGAGAGGGCCACATGTAGTAACTATATATGTAATATCAAAGCAATTGGACTTGCGGTTTTTAACAAGAAGTTGAAAATATCACTTTTTACCAAAAATGACAAAAATATTCACCAAAATTAGAGAATTGAAGATATCATCATGAAATGAACAAATCTGAGAGAGGTCTACCCAAGGTACATATACACCAAGTATCAAAGCATTCAGGCTTGTGGTTTTCAAGAAGAAGCCGAAAAAGTAAAACATTGACACGAACGACGAACAATCACTCATATGATAAGCTCCGCTCGACAAAGTCGACAGCGGAGCTAAAAACAAGTGAAATTAAGTCGCATTGGAAGAAAAGTATGAATAATTCAACAGCAGACGAGACTGGTTGAGAAAAAACGAACTCTGACCTCTGGAAATACCCCATTCATAGGGTGCCTTAGTACAGAAGAACGCCGCCCTAAGGCGACATAATGCACGTTGCAACATTGTGACGATGCATGCTGGGTTACAGGGGGGGTTCTGATCGAGGTAACAAAGATGGCGGCGCAGAGTGCATGATTTTCCGTGATGTTTAAAAACAACATCTCGTTGGCGATTTTGACGTAATGCCTATGATAATCGTCAATGAATCGTTTTAATAAACAATTTGTGTATTTCACACCAAAAAGTCAGATACTGATGATCGCAACAGCAGCGGTGAATTCTCGTCTAACGCAATGCCGTCAGCTGACAATGTTACGGTGATCGTAGCGTTACTCACAAGGTATATTGCAATGAAAAATCGCCGAACTGCCATTTTAGATTTTTTTTCTAATTATTGATTTATTAATTTCAACATATTTCGATATCTTGCCAACTTTATAAATTAACCAAAAAATGTTTTCCCCAACGTTTATATGAACTGACAGTGACATGGGCACTAAAACTTGTACACAATGATGAACCAGTTACATCCATGGATAACATTATATTCACTGACTGGCTGTAACCATGGAGCTAAAAAACTTTTTTAGCTCCATGCTATAACACAAGTCTTTCAATTTTTTTATGCTGTTCCATTTTAAATTTTATTTGACTTGATACAAAAACATAAAATACAATGCAGTAAAATTATATAAAATTTATCACAGATATAAAAATATCTTGTCTTTAATTAATTGTAGATTGACAATATTTGTTGTGAAAAACTGATTATTATGCAAATGAAATTATGCAAATTAGATGCATTGTTACGCAAATTGACCGTGATGCTTGACATGAAGTCTGGGGAGAACACTGTAGTATCTATATATGTAATATCAAAGCAATTGAACTTTTGGTTTTTAACAAGAAGTCGTAAATATCACTTTTTACCAAAAATATTCACCAAAATTAGAGAATTGAAGATATCATCACGAAATGAACAAATCTGAGAAAGATCTACATGTAGTATCAGTGTTCCCCCCAGGCCTCTGAAGCGACACGGTACCGTGACGCTTGGACACTCGGCCGTGATGCTTGCCCTTTGTCCGTGACGCTTGGTCACTCGCCTGTGATGCTTAGGTTTTTGTTAACAAGTGTCAGTCTCGTCTTGCACATATTTAAAACAATAACATGTATTGATCGAAAGGTAATCCCGCTTTTGTTAGCCATACAAAGACAGTGATAAAAACGGAAGTCTGCAATAAGTTGCGAAGTCTTTCAAAGGTGTAGAGCCTCCAAATCCCAAAAAAATACTAGAGTAGCAATAATTTGCCCATTGCACGCAATGACAACAATGTGACGAAACAAGTCACGGCGTACGTCGGGAAGATCAACCCCGATTTGCTGCACTCCGATTTTTTATCACTCATTCGCCGGTGACATTAATTACCCCAAAATTAAGAAAAACAAGCAGTCTGTCGGCTGAGATAGCTCCGCTGTTAGCAATGCACATGGCAATTAAAGAACAGAAGATATCATTAGAAAATGAACAAATCTGAGAGAGGTCCACATGTAGTACCTATATATGTAATATCAAAGCAATTGCACTTGGCCAAAAAACAAGATGGCTGCAAGTCTGTCATCTTTTATCTGATCAAAAATAAAAATTTTATGGACATGTATTGCTACATGATAATACATACAATCAAATTGGATATGCAAATCAATGGTCATGTAACCAGGTAAATTCTGTTTCTGAATGAATTTGTAGTGTATGGTTCGTATTGAAGAGTGAATAATACTCGTAGACAGGATTGAGTATCGACAAAAATCAGATTTATTAAATGACTTATTATATTTATGCAATTTGTGTATACAAACTAAGTGCATGTCTCCAAGTATAGCAAGTGTGTGCAAACTTATTAGCGTTAGCCAAAGACACTCTTTCAAACAAGGTTTATGACAGGCAATTAAAGCATTTTACAATTTAAGGTAGCAGAATAGTTTTTTGGGCACTTTTCACATTTTTTTTTGAAAATCACACGAATAGCTCCCTAAGGCATGCTACATACATTAGTGTTTTTATTTTATTGAAAAAAAAATATCTTGTACAAGTAAACTGATTTTTTTCTTGTGTGCAAACAAATGGCCAAGTTTTTGTTTATCCAGTGTACACCAAACTAGTGCATCTCATTAATATGCATGGTTTACAAACATAACTGAACTGAGGGTAAATAGTTTTAAGTTGGGCCACTTTCTTTATTTGCTGATTTACAAACAACTGATAAGATATCT